ATTGGCCATTTCTGATCAGACAGTCCTATGATCTATATTACTGGCAATGAAAAATTAGTAAGAATGGATTTGTTTTCATAGCAAAAAGATAATTTCAAGATCTATCATGAAGTATAGCTGTGAGGAGAACCTGTTAATATAACTATTATTCAAACATATGCAACAACATCTAATGCCAGAGGTGAGGAAAGCGAGGATTTCTGCCAACATTTACAGCATGAAATTTATCAAATATGTAACATAGATCTAGGAATAATAACTGATGCCTGAAATGCAAAAAGTTTGGAGGGAAAGACTGACAATCAGACCTTACAGACTTACAGTGACAGAAATGAGGGTAGATAGAGATCAAATGAATAATTGCATTGTATACAATAAATGATTTATTAATTATAAATTACTCTTTTAAAAAAGCACAAATAGGGACTAATCACATGAGTGTTACTTGGTGGACTACACAGGAATCAGATTAACTGCATCAGTGAGAGAAAAAAAAAGGCATTGGAGAAGCCCAATATCAACCAAAACCAGGTCAAATGTTAACTGAAACTGATCATCACTCATGTGCAAGAACATTGAAGCTAAAAAGAAATAATTAAATAAAGCAACTCTACAATAACTAAATACAACCTTAATTCTATCCTTCCTGAATTTAAAAACCATCTCAGGAATAAGTTTAAGGCATCGAACACCAATGATAGACCAGATGAGTTCTGGGATGATATTGAGGACAGCATCCATGAGGAAAGCAAAAGGTGATTTCAAAGAAAAGGACAAATGAAAGACAAAAGTTGATGTGACAAGAGACTCTGAAAATTACACTAAAACATAAAAAAGGAAAAAAAGGAAGAAATGGTAAGGTAAAAAATGAACAGAAGATTTCAAACGGCAGCTCAAAAAGATAAAATATTGCAACAATATGTACAAAGATCTGGGATTAGAAAATAAGGGACAAATTTAAAATGAAATGTGCAGAGACCTAGGATTGGGGAACAAAATGGAAGAATTCCCTCAAGCTGAAAGAACTGAAAGACAAATGAAAGTCTTGAGTTAAAGATACAATGGGCAAAATTTTGAATGATATGGGAATCATCAAAGATAATGGAAAGAATGTGTATAGTCACTGTGTCCAAATGAATTGGTGAACACAGAATCATTTCAAGAATTAGTGTGTGATTAAGAACCAATGGTGATGCACATTTATGTTTATTGCTGCATTGTTCACAATAGCAAAGAGATGGAAACAACCCAAGTGTCCATCAGCAAACAAATGGAATACTATGCAGCATTGAAAAACAGGGGACTCATGAAATGTTATACAGGGTGGGTGTCCTGGGGAACATTGCGCTGAGTGAAATATCTCAGTCACAGGGGGACAGGTGCTGCATGGTGCCACTGTTGTGAAGTAGGACTGACGTCGGGGTTTGGAGGAAACCAAGAAGAGAGGGCATAAATAATGTACACTTTCAATGATAAATAATTGAAATGGATGAGGGAGGGAACTGTTTGAGAGAATGATTAGGTATTATTTGCATGACAACAGTCCAGAATAAGAGATGTAAATTAAAGTGGACTGGAGTCGGGGGTGGGGGTGGGGGTGGGGAATTGTACAACAATAAAAGAATTTTTCTTTTTTTTATTATTATTATTTTATTATTTTGTGTGTGCGTACTGTCAAATCGGATCTGACTGGTACAGGAGGAGATTGTCCCTCCTTTTCCTGGCAGAGCATCTGGTGGGAATTTTTCTTTTAAAGAGAAAAGTGAACTGGGAGGGGCGGTGGGCAGGGAGGAAATTGTGTAACAATGAAGGAATGAAAATCCAAGTTCTTTATAAACTTTCATTAAAATACCAATTTTTAAAAAAGAAACAATGGCGATTAAGTAAGAAGTTCAAGCAACATTTAAGGCATTAGCAAAAAGTAGCACTAGATGTGCCAGGAAATTTTCAGGACTGATTGAACTGTTTGGAAGAGATCCAACTGAATGGAAGTGATTGCATTCCCCAAAAAGGTGATTCAACAAAAAGTGGAAATTACTAAACAATATTATTAATACAAGTAAAATCTTGCCAAAGTTTATTAAAAAATGGCTACATAGAACTGCCAGAAATTCAAGTTATATTTAGAAGAAGCCATGGCACCATAGATATCATTGCTGAGGTCAGATAGATCTTGGATGAAAGCAGAAAATATCAGAAGGATGTCTATTTGTATTTCATTGACTACGTAAAGACATTTGACTGTGTGTATCACAACAAATTGTGGCTAATATTGAGAAGAATGGGAATCCCAGAACAGTCAAATGTGCTGATCTGAAACCTATACCTAGAGGCAGCAGCAGTGGTCTGAACAGAACAAGGAAACACTGTATGTTTTAAAATTAAGAAAAGTGTGCATCAGCACATTGTTGTTTCTCCCTATTTATTCAGTCTGCAAGCTTACCAAATCTTATGAGAAGCTGGACTCTGAAGGAGAAGCAAAGGAATGCTCACAACAACCAGCTTATTAGGTGTCATTGAAGTCAACTAACCATAGTGACCCTACCAACAACAATCCTGAAACCCGTCCTATCCTGTACAGTCCTCACCATCGCTGAGGTTGCTGCCCTTTAGTACTCTGTGAAGGTCCCTGACAGCAAATTGTCCCACTGCAGTTCTTTTGATTTCTTTACTGCGGGTGCATAGAGTGTTGATTATGGAAACAAGCAAGCTGAAATTGTTAACAATCTCAATCTTTTTTCTATCTACCATGGTGCTGTCAATTAGCCTAGTGGTGAGAATCTGTTTTCTTATGTTGAGCTTCAATCCATATAGAAGACTGTAGTCCTTGATGTGCAGCAAATACTTCAGGTTCTCAATTTCAGCAAGCAAGGTTGTGTCATTTGCATAACACAGATTGTTGATGAGTGTTCCTCAAATCCTGATTCCATAGTCCTCATAAAGTCCAGTCTGTGAATACAGATTAAAAAGGTATGAAGACAGGATGCATCCCTGATACACTCCTTTCCTGATTTTGAACCACGTAGTGTTTTCCTTGCTCTGACAACTGCTTCCTGGCCCAAGTATAGGTTTCACATGAGCACAATCAAGTTGTAGATGAGTCTTCGTCCATTCCTGATGCCATATTCTTCTACATAAAATCTAGCGTTTTGCCTGATCTGTTTCACTTTTGAAACATTTAGTGAGCTCCAGTGGCCTAGTGGCAAAAAAGCGGAGCTGCAATCCTGAATGGAGGGTTCAAATCCACCAGGTGCTCCGTGGGAGAAGGCTGGGCAATCTCCGATTCCGACTAGATGGTAAACAACAACATGGACTGCCAAAGGAAAAACAAATGTCTTGGAGAAAGTACAACCACAAACCCTCTTAGACACAAATACAGTGAAACTCTTTCATAAACTGTGGGCATGTTGTTAGCAGTGGCCAGTCCTTGGAAAGGGAATTAATGTCTGGAAAGGTTGAGGGTCAATGAAGAAGATCCCTAAAGAGATGAAATGACTGTTCTTGCTGTTAGCAGCCTCTCCAAAGTACTGGAGAGCAATGGTGTCTCTCTGGAAACTAAGGTGCCTCTGATACAGGCCATGGTCTTTGCTATTACTTGTTATGCATCAGAGAGTTGGACAGTGACTAAGGAGGAAAGAAGGAGAATTGATGCCTTTGAGCTGTGGTGCTGGAGAAGAGTATTGAAGGTACCATGGACTGCTAGGAAAACAAACAGATTTATCCCGGAAAGGGTTAAACCGGGCGACTCCCTGGAGGCAATTATTCTGAGGCTCCATCTAACATACTTTGGACATGTTGTAAGGAGAGACTGGTCCTTGGAGAAGGACATCATGCTTGGGAGGGTTGGAGGGACAGCGCAGGAGGGGTAGGCCCTCTATGAGGTGGATTGATTCAGTGACCGGGGTAATAGAGATGCGAGTGTCAGAGACAGTGCGATTGGCACAGGACAGAGCGGAGTTTAGGGCTGTTGTACATAGAGTCGCAAGTGACTCGATGGCACAGAACAACAACAATGGACTCAGGTATATAAAAAATAGGATGGAGCAGGATAGGGCAGGGTTCAAATCTGTTGTCCTTAGGGTCGCTAAGAGTCATAGTCGACTGGATCGCTAATTAAAGACATAGTTCTGTAAATAATCTAGAGGATGTGACTTTAGACAAATTACATAAATGCTGCAATCCCTCTCTAGGCAGGAGGTGGATCAAGCCAACCATGGTTATCTCTGGAATTCTCGGCGTTGGTTGAATTCACTTTGCCTGATCCACCCATAGGATGGTTTGTTCAGCTGTCTTGTCTCTTTGCTGCGGTTCTCAAAATAGACTGGACTTGTCCAGCAGAGCCACAACATCACCAGGGTCAATGCCTGCCTCCCAGCCTACACTCACTAGAGACCCATCTACTCGCATTCAGAACTTGCCACGTATTGATGATCGCTTCGAACCAATCAAAGGAAAGTTACCTCAGACTTTTGGAAAGAGCATCAGTTTCCACCAATGATATCCCAGCTTTTTTCCAGCTCCTAGGCGAGACTCTCAACTGGGCTGACAAATCAGCTTCAGGTAAAGGGATTCCGGAATCACCGAGACAGCCAATCCGCTAGGAGGGGAGGGACATTTCGCATTGGGTTACTGTGTACGGAGGAGGGCCTGGCTGGGGGTGGGGTAGGTTCGACGCAAATATGATTTGATTGGCTGTGTGTTGTAGACAACTGAGGAAAGCCCACCTTTCCGCTTGGGTCTGACAGAGTGGCGGCAGTCATAGCCAATCGGAAGACAGTTGCCTGGTTTGTGCATTCAATGGGCTCTAGCGGGTGGTTGCTGTCAGTCAGGTGGTTGCGGGAAGGCAGGCCTGAGACGTGGCCCGGGAGCGCAGCCGGCTGTGCAGGCCGTGTGTAAGGCGGCGGGGTTCCCTGCGGTGTTGTGGCCTCGATCGGGGGTGCTCCTGGAGCGACGGGTGCCGGCGGTTGCGCATCCATGCGCACGTGTGGAGCGAGCCGCTGATGGCGCGCGACACTGGCCGGGGGTCGCTCGTGCGGGCGCTGCTCGCGCTGCTGCTGTGGTTCGCGGCTGGGACGGTGGCCGCGGGGCGGGTCCGCGAGGTCGTTATGCCAGGGGCGGATGCGGCGTTCGGCTTGGGGGCGGCCGCTGCTCCCACCTCGGCTGCGCAGGTGCCCGCTGCAGGGGCTGTGGCCGCGTCCGAGGTTACAGTGGAGGACGCCGAGGTGCTGCCAGCGACCACAGGCGAGCCGGAGTCTCGGGGGCCGGAGCCCGAAGTGGAGGCGGCGCTCCGACCGCGCGGCAGGTGAGACAGGACGGGCGCGGGGCCCCGGGGAGCACCTTGTATGCACTGCCCGCTGCGGCCGTCACCGTCGGGACTCCACTGACCAGCAGGTGGGCTGTGTCACTGTCACCGTCGGGACACCACTGAGCTGACCGGCAGGTGGACGGTGCGGCTGTCACAGTCAGGACTCTGCTCATGGGCACGTGGACAGTATAGCCATCAGCGTGTGCTGACATCACACTGTGCTGACATCACACTGTGCTGACCGACAGGTGGGCGGTGTGGCCGTCACTGTGAGGACTCCGCTAATTGACAGGTAGGCTGTATGGCCATCAATGTGAGGACTCCGCTGACCGACAGGTGGGTGGTGTGGTCGTCACTATTGAGACTGCTGACCGGCAGGCAGGTGGGCAGTATGGCCGTCGCTGTGGGGACACTGCTGACAGGCAGGTGGGGAGTATGGCCGTTGCCGTGGGGACACTGGTGACCAGTAGGTGGGCGGTATGGCTATCGCTGTCAGAACTCCGCTGACCACCATGACCTGTTGTCATTCCCACAGAACTGTTCTTTTTTTCATATGTGGATCACCCCCAGTCAGTATCGTTTTGGGAAAAGAATTTCGCTGACACAGCCCTGCAGTGCCCTGGGACCAGGGTGGCTCTGTCTAATTGAGGTTGCAGTGATGCCTCCATCCCAAGCTGGGTGTGTTGGGTATGTGTCCCAGAATCCGATTTTCCTGTGGGTAGCACACTCACTCAGAAGTTTGTCAGTATTGACAGCTCGTTGATAGAAAGATATACAAATATATAGGAAGTTCTGGTGGTCTAGAGGTAAGAAACTGCGCTGCAGTCCCAGAGACATGCTGTTCAAATCCACCAGCTGCTCTGTAGGAGAAGGATAGGCAGTCTCCTCTCCAGTGATTAACTGCCTCTGAAAACCCCCCTGAGGGTCAGCTGTGGGTCACTTTAGACTGAACACACTGCAACATACACCAGCTCAGTGCAGGTTCTGACTTGACTGTATGTAACAACAACAGTAACAAAAAAAATATATATATATAAACGCCCTGGGCAAGGAATATATAGGCTTTGAAAAATTACTTAAAGTGATTGATTTTAAGCATTTCACAAAGTTTAGCCGTAGCTGGAAGAAGCCCTAGTGGCTTAGTCTGTAGGGAGTTGCACTGCTGACCTAAAGGTTGTACTTCTCTGCGGGCTGGAACCCACTAGCTGCCCAGTGGGAGAAAGATGGGCAGTCTTCTCCTGTGAGATACAAATGTATAACCTCTGAGAGCCCACTCAGCGTCAGGTGGCTCTAACTGGATGGCCATAAGATTTTTTAATTTTGAGACATAAATAGAAATCTTTTGATCATAAGGTGTTTTGTACCTAGTAGACTCAATGGTAGTGGGTTTTCACACCCACTCAAAATACACAAAAGGATGCAATGAGAAAAATGCCCTATTTAGTAAATGGAATGATATAAGGAACATTAGGTAATTTCGGTTATTACCTAATGTTCCTTATATCATTCCATTAACTAAAATCTGCAGTATTAGAAAGTAATTACTTAGTGTTTATAAATTTATAAGCTTACAATGAAATTACTAGTTCAGCTTGGCTCATTGTTGTCAAGCCAGACTGACTCATAGCTGAACTTCCAGCAGTGTTTGGAGGCTGTAAATTGTTCTAGAGACGATTACAGTCTTTCTCCCTTGGAGCAGCTGGTGGATTTGAAGTGGCTACATTTAGGCTAGCAGTACAATTCCCTACAGATTATACCAACAGAGCACCCTGCAATTATTAGAGTATAACAGATTATTGTTTAATACTTAATAACATATCAGAAGCTTCATTTATATTATACATGGAGGCCACTATAAATTAGATGTTGTTGTTAGGTGCCATTGAGTTGAGCACAACAGTGTGAACAACAGATCTGAATGCTGTTCTATCTGGTGCCATCCTCACAATCTCTGACACATTTAAGACCATTCCTTTAGTCATTCTGTCAATCTACCTGGTTCAGGGCCTTCCCCTCCTTTGCCATCCCTCCAATTTTCCAAGCATGATGTCCCTCTCCAAGTAATAATTGGATAGGTATTAAAATTCTCTAGACAGCATTTGAATATTTAAATATGGCTTTTATTTTGTATTGCTTTGAATAACAAGTGTTTAACAAATATTTTCAAGATCCTGCTGATCTAACATTTCCTGGAAGAGTGTCTTTGTTGGTCTTAAAAAAAATCTAAAGTACTTGCTCAGAGTCTGTTATGTGATAACTTGATTTTTCCTGGCATACAACACATTTCAACATCAGCCAAACCCACTGCCCTTGAGTTGGTTTCAGCTCATGGGGCTGTAAAGAAGCAGGTTGCCACATATTTCTCTTCTGGGACCCCTGATACACACCAGCCACCAATTCTTTGGTCAGTAACCAAGTCCTTTAACTACTGCACCAATAAGCCCCCTCCAAAATCCACTGCAAGTGTTCAGCAACTTTTACCATATGTGATACACCCATGACACTGAGGTTATGCAGAGGGTGCTGCCTTCCAGGAGCTTTCTTCTGACTGTGAGGATAAAAGGAGGAGTCTCATAGAGACATCGGAGGCCCTGGCAGAACAGACAATTTATATGTGATTATTAGGGAGTTCTGGTGTCTTAGTGCTAAGGATTTGGGCTGCCAGCCTAAAGACATGCAATTTGAATCCACTAGCTTTTTTGAGGAATAAATATGGACAGTCTCCTCCCATGTAATTTACAGCCTCTGAAAACCCAGTGGAAGGTCAGCTATGAGTTGGTTTCAATTCCATGGAAATTACTTTGACTTCTGACTAACTGAAAAAGCTGGCTGTTTGGAGCTGCCCAGTGTAAAGTGATAGTTATCTGTTTCCTTAGTGAAAATGATATTAAAAAAAAAACCCCATGTAGAACAGTTCTGCTCTGAATACGGGGCTGCTTTGAGTTAGTAGAAGCAGGCCTGATCTTAGTTTTTGGTATTATGGAATTATGACCAAAACAGAGCAGAAACAGTGCACAGTAAGTGCTGTGGGCTTCAAAGTTTTTGTATTCAGAGATGGGATGTGACATTGATGTAAGTGAGAGCATAAGAAAAAGCTGTGGCATGAAGATTTGATGCTTGAAAATGGGTAGAATTATGCTGATTAGACACTGGACTAAGGAAACAGCAAGAAGCACAGGTGCTGGAAATTATGTTTAGGAAACAGTTTCTCTAGCTTTCTGTGTGTAGGTGAATGAGTACAGTACAGGCAGGCTGGGCAGGCAGGAATGGAAGATGAAGGTGGGAGAGTAGGTTGGGGCCATATGATATTTACAACCTTAGGAGAAGCAGCATTGTCATCTAGGAAAGAGCATGTTAGAAATCTAGAGTGGGGCACCACCTCAGACTCACTGAGTGAGAATGCATATTTAACAAGATGAACAAAGTATCCTATAGAGTAACCTCAAATCCAGACACGATAGTTCTTTTTAGGACTGTTTTCTTAAGAAGAATGGGAAATAAAAAATTGAGGTTATTGTTATGTGCAGTCAAGTTGGAGTCACCTCAGAGCTGAACCTCCTGCGGGCTTTCAGAGGCAGTACATAACATATGAAGGGATTGTCCTGTGAAGCAACTGATGGATTAAAATCATGTGCCTTTGGGATTACAGTGCAGTTTCTTGTCACTGGGCCACCAGAGCTGCCTAAAAAAAAGGAGATTGTTATTGTTAGGTGCTTTTGAGCTGAGTACAACTTGTAGTGACCTTATGAACCATTCTGTACCATTCTCATCATCTCTGACACACTCAAACCCATTGCTGAAGTCACTGTTAATCCACCTGCTTGATGGTCTTCTCCTTTGGCTTCCCTCTATCTTCCCAAACAGGATGTCCCTCTTTGAAGAATAGCCTCGCCTAGCAACATACCCAAAGCATGTAGGACAAAGCTTTATTGTCATCTTTGCCTCCAAGGAGCGCTCTGGCCACATCTTCTTCAATATGTATCTGTTTGTTTGGCAGTCCATAGGATATTTAGTACTCTTCTCCAGCATTACAGTTCAAAGGCATTAGTTCTTTTTTTTTTTCTGTCATCCTTAGTCATTGTCCTCAAATGGATAGCAAGTGACCAAAAAGACTATGACCTGAATCAGGTGCAGCTTAATCCTTCAACTGACATCTTTTGGAGAGATTCCTCCCTGCAGACTATCCCTGTGCAATGCATCTCCTGATTTCCTGACTACAGGTACCAGTGTATTGATTGAGGATCCAAGTAAGATGAAGTCTTTGACAGTTTCAAACATTTTTTGCATCCATCATGATGTTGACTTTTGATCCAGTGGAAGGGATTTTGTTTTCTTGACATTTAGGTCGTACTGAAGGCTGCAAATTTGGAAACAGTGAAGAAGGAAGGGTAGTTGGAAAGTACACACTAGGTCAGAAATGAGGCTAGAAATATGATGATTCAATTTTTGTCTGTTCAGTGATTTATTCATTGCAAATACCCTTTTAAAAATGCACAAACAGTAACTTTATACATGGATCTCATCAGATGGGCTGCATAGAATCAGATTGACTACATCTGTGGAAGAAAGCGTTGGAGAAGCTCAGTATGAGCAGTCAAAACTAGGACAGGTGCTGACTATGGAAGAGACGTCAATTATATAAAAGTTCAAATTGAAGCAGAAAAAATTAAAACAAGTCCATGAGAACCAAAATATGACCTTGAGTCTATCCCAGCTATGATGTTGTTGTTGGTGCTGTTATGTGCCTTCGAGTCGCTTGCGACTCATAGCAACCCTACGTACAACAGCCCTAAACTCTGCTCTGTCTTGTGCCAATCGCACTGTCTCTGACACTCCCATCCCAATTATCCCAGTCACTGAATCAGTCCACCTC